GGGTCGTATGGGCATCCTTATCCTGCAAGATTTGGGCAAGGTGGAATTTTGGTGGAGTACCCTCTAATTTCTGTATGATTGATCCCAACAAGTTTGCCCGTGGCACCTTAAATAAGGGGCAAGTGAACATAATGTGCTGAAGCGACTCCGGCATCTCCTTATCACATTCGCACATGGCGGAGGTTTGGCCCTTTGAGAATCTATGTCTCAGGACATTGGAGGGAAAAACATTAAACCTCGCTTTGGTGAAGGCCAGCCTATGGGCAACAGTCGAAAGGGAGGAGAGGTATGATGGAACGCAATAAGTTAAAGTGATCCCAATGTTCTGGGGCGAACAAACACCTCCCCCCAGCATATAATTTTGCTGTAAATCGATGTCATCCAGTCTTTGGCGGATCAGTCTTTGAGCAGTGATTTGATCTAGTTTTAGGGAATCTAAGGGAGAGATTCCATAGCTCAGGAGTTTGGCATGAATTCTACTGGTCCAAAGGCTGGGGAATTCATCTCGCCATAAGCATTGGGCAAGGTAATGGTCTGGTAATCTATGCCACAATGATAACCAATAATTGAAGACTTGCTTCCACAGGCAGGTTTCTAAGGATGCGATCCTCAATTCTAAACGCATGGCTGCGTTGCTTACGCACAGGGGGAGCATTAGGAGCCGACGTAGGAATTGGTTTTGCAAAGTCTCAAGAGGAGCAAGGTCTGTCATCACGACCCAGAGCGGGGCAGCATAAGCAAGCACGGGAACCACTTTTGCCTTGAACACCTTTAGGGCCGAGGGAACATGCAAAGCTCCATCCGAAAAGAAAAATCGGAGGAGCGCATATGACAGAGTTTTGGCCTTATTAAGTAGGTGTTGAATATGTGCTTTCCACCCCAAATTGTATTGAAAAATAACTCCTAGGTATTGAAATTTTAGGACTTGCTCTATTTTTGCTCCACCAAGCTTCCATTCGTATAATCTCCGACTTCTGGCGAAAATCAGAATCTTAGATTTAGCATGATTGATGGTTAATTGGTTGAGTTGACAATACGTGGCAAAGATCTTCAGAGCTCTGGTTAGTCCAACACGTGTATAAGATAGAATTACCGCGTCGTCCGCATATAAAAGGAGTGGACAGCGGTAATCCGCTAGTCTAGGCGCATGTGTACTTGGAGATGAGTTGACTAGGGGTGCTCGCATGTCGCTGATGAATAGATTGAATAGGCAGGGGGCCAATATACATCCTTGGCGCACTCCCTTGTTTATTGGTATCGAATTTGTGAGGTCGCCCGCAGGAGTAAGTCTCACTCTGGCAAGGGTACCTTCGTGGAGCTGACTTATAAGCCATAAGAGCCTTCTATCGATGCCCTGTTTCGCAAGTTTCTCCCAAAGAATATTTCTAGGAACGCTGTCGAAGGCTGCCTTAAGATCTAAGAAGGCAGCACACAGATAGCCCCGGGGGGGGGAGGAGTACTTCCGTGCCAGATGGTAAAGAACTATCGCATGATCAGTTGTAGAGCGTTTAATTCTGAACCCTGCTTGTTCGTGGCCAATCTGGTTAGTCTCATCTACCCATCGCGATAGTTTCGTCAGCAAAAAGCTGGCATAAATTTTCCCTATGATCGAAAGGAGGCTGATGTTACGGTAATTTTCCGGCTCCATTGGAGAACCTTTTTTTATGAATTGGAACTATAATGGCCTCCTTCCATATTTTGGGGATGCTACCAGAAGCGTTGATTGCGTCGAAGGTTTTGGCCAAGATGCCAGCCCACCATTTTGGGTGTAGTTTGATGGCTTCAGCAGGGATCAGGTCGGGCCCTGGGGCTTTGCCCAATTTCAGCTGGGCTATTAGCTTGGCTATTTCGTCAGGATCGGTGGGAGGCCAAATAGGTAGGTGGGAGAACAGATGCATCAGATGGTCGGAGGGAGCATCTGCCTGTGAGAAACATTTCTTCAGGAACAATTCCCATGTCGGTGCAGGGATGACTGCCCTTGGGTATTTCCTCACCCTTCTGTTAATCAGAGACCAGAATTCCCTGGATCTATGTGATTTTGAAGCAGTAATCAAGGCCTGCCAGCGATTATGTTGCCACTCACGTTTGGCAATTTTCTGCGTGCGTTTATAAACTTGCTTGGCTTGTGCATAACTAGCTGGCAGAGTAGATGCATCGGAGGTCTTATATACATTATATATAGCACGAAGGCGCTGTCTTGCTTGTTTGCACTGAGAGTTATACCAGGGGCACCGTAAGTATACTCGTTTCGATTTAATATTTTGGGTGGTAACCTGAAGAAGGACGTAAGGTCCGTCGTATGATGGTGGAAGCGTTTCAACACTATGCTATGCTCATCTGAGGCAGAGCCTATGTAGGGATGGGGCCCGAGGATTTCTTTTGAAAGAAATCCTGATACCTTTGAGCCTGGGTCTCCGACCATTTGATTCCTCTTACTTGAAGAGATACGTTGGTTACCATCTGGGTCGCATGTCTATAGGTCTCCAACTGCCAATTCAGGGAAAGCTTGGCTACAAGGGGAAGATGATCACTAGATTGTACATTCTCGATCTTAAAGGAGGAAATACACTTAAGTAGATCACTGGAGACCAGCAGGTAATCGAGGACGCTGTTTGATTTAACACTCAGGTGAGTGAAATCCCCTGGAATATCAGGGAGGCATGTGCCATTTAGGGGACCAGATTTAAACGGATGGCCATTTGGTAGAGGAATACTCCAGCCTCATTAACTCGTTGGTCTTTAGAAGTTCTCCTCATGATATGTTCCAGATCATAATTATCAAGGTTTGGGGTAACCCACCATTTGGCTTTGGTCAGCGAGTCCCAATTTGCTGCTGTGCGGGCATTAAAATCGCCACCTATTATGGCCGGGGTGTTAGGAAACTTGACATAGCATGAGAGCAAATGCTCTTCTAGCGAGCCCCATTTAGAGCCCAGTTCAGAGGAAGAACCCCCGGGTGGCGGTCCCTTCCACCTCTACAGGAAGCTGCTAACCTACACCCTCCGTGCTTTTGCCAGGATGAAAAAGCTTCAGTAGGCAACAACCTTGGTTAAGGTTGAACCACCGCCATTTTGTCCTCCTATTCAAAGAGGTTTAGATGTTGAAGCATCAGAAGCGGGCAGTGGTCCTTCTTCCCTTCAGGACAAAGTGCTAGCACCACCATGTGTCCCCTCAGCGCATCTCTTAGCTGGCTCCATAATGACAAGAGAGGAAGGAGACCCTCACAGAAGCGCCGCATGAGGGACATTTGTGCGATTGCCTTCTCTTATACCTCTCAGAGAGTGCCAACTCTTTCCTTTCATGAAGCTCCGTAAAGAGGAGCTCCCCCTTCTATGTTTTAACATGAGAGGGTGTCATTTTAGGGGGTGAAACAATTTCTGCAAATTACTTCAGTGAGGGGTCTTAAAAAATATGTTTTTGGAGAAGAGTGGCAGATGAAGATGATGGACTTTGCAGAACTGGCGAAGCTGACAGAAAAAAATCTGAAACCAGCATGATCAAATATTCCAAAAGGACTGGAGTAAATTTATATGATATTTGAAAGATTATTGTAAGACATTAACATCACTAGCAGGGTTGTCTGAAGACTTGTAATGAGAAATTTTCTGTCTTTCTATTTTTATTTAAATTTTGAGCTGTTTTGTAATGAGTGTAATTAGAAGTGGAAAACATACAAAATGCAATGATATAAAGGTTAATTTTGAAAGCCATGAGACGGGAGGGAAGGAGGTTGATAGGCTCTAAAGAGCCAAAGTGGTAAAGTGGATAATGAAGAATGTACAATATTAAATGGAAAATAAATAAAAATTAGATAGATAGATAGATAGATGATAGATAGATAGATAGATAGATAGATAGATAGATAGATAGATAGATAGATAGCTATGGATAGTTTTTGCCGTATGAGGGATTCCAGTCTGCTATTATTTTTCGTGACTGGACAACATTCAACTTGGTAAGTCTACATTGCATGAAGAAGCACATCAACTGGTTTTGGAAAGCCAAAGAACTTTAATTCTACCTCCTGTTAACGTCAGGTCATGCTAAATAATACGAATAACAATAATTTATAATATAGCAGCAAGTAGTTGGCGATCATTTGTAATGATTTTGCACACACTTTACTCAATCATATTAATTTAACCGAAATATATTCTGAATTCCCCCAAGTCGTGCTACAACTTTTTATCACCTCACAGTTTTGGAATTTGAAAGTTGAAAAATTCAACAAGTCCTTTGTGAGGGAGGGAGTCCTTTACCTCTTTGGAAATGCAGGGAGCGTAACCATGAGAGGAAAAAACCCCATAACTGAAAGAAAGCAGCATTCCTCACACACACACCCATCCCTGAACTATGAGCCGGTGAATGTGAAGCCCCTGCCTTAAGAGCCCTGGGCACTGTCAAAGGCAGAGCCATGGGAGCCTGACCAGACCCCTCCTGGGCGGCCATCTTGGCCAGAGATGGCGGAAGCAACAGGCAAAAGTATAACAGCTGTGGCATATGCCTCAGAGCAGGGAGTGGGCTGAGAAATGCTGAGGAACGCCGCTCATGACACTTGGGAAAGGCAGTGTGGATTGTGTCCAGGGATTTCCAAAGCGAGCCCTCAGGAACCTGCCCCTCGCCCATAGGGTCCTTTAGCTGAGGAGTTTTCCCACCATTTTCCTTCCTCGCCCTTATGGCGGTGCCAGAATCTCAGGCTCAGAATGGTTCCCTTTAGAGAGCTGCCTTTTCTCTCCCTGCAAGGCATGGAGGGCCAAGGGAACGTTTTCAAGGCTAAAGCCTCCCGAGGGCTGCTGTCAAATAAGTGCATAAACACCCGTTCCCTTGGGAATTGTTTTTCATGGGGATTCAAAAGGCTATCTCTCCCTCGCTTCCCGCCATGAGGGGTAGCTTACTTAGTTATATACACTTGATCATAAGAAAAAACCCTCAAAGTGGTTTACAAAAAGAAGGGAGACCCTCTGAGGTTGGTTTTAAAAAACAACAACAACCAAGCGGTGTATAGTTTTTATGAAATAAAATTAATCAGTATGTGGAGGCATCTGCAAAGGCAGCTGGTCTTTCTAAATAGCTTCAGAATGAAATAAATAAATTCATTTAATTACCTCATGAGGAGTTTTAGGGCTCCTCTAGAGGATGGGTTAGAATTACCCTGCTGCATGAAACTACAAAATGGGGTTTTCCTACTTCTAGTTTCATGAGGCTTCTCCCTTAGCTATTGAAAATGTATAGTGGCCTTTCTTTTCTCCTGAGTTTCAATTCCTTGACTTAAGGAACCCCTGAAATACGCTCAGTAGAGTTTAGTTTTCTGCACAATACATGTAACTTGGATGTGGTTTGAACATGAGGGCAGATACAACCTCAGGTGCTAGTCTGGTGTGTGTTTTTTCTGCCTACAGCTTGACAGTTCAGTACTAAGTAAAGTGTACAATTTAAATGCAAAACAAATTTTCTTCATTCCTTTATTTGCCAGACAGTCCCTTTGGAATTTTATTTTGAAGAAGTCTTTAATAGGATCAAGGACACGAAGGTGCTTCTTTCTGTATTGCCCAATTTCACATACGTCAACCAACATCAGAAAATTCAGAGAAGTGCAAATTTCATAGGACAGCTGTCCTTCAACCCGTGATTGTTTCAGGAAGTGTGAATTAGGTTGTTACACAATGAAGTGAAAACAAAAATGGAGGCCAGGGGGTCAGAGAAGGTGTGGAGTCCATTTTCATTTGCAGGGTGTCGACTAAAAAACAGCCAATTTGCTCCCACAAGAGGTAGTGATGGGCACAAACCTGGATGGATTTAAATAAGGATTAGGGAAATTCATGGAGGATATCAATGGCTATGTTTTCCCTAAACTATCAGAAGCAGGATGCGTCTGAATAAATGTTGCTGGCAATCTCAGGTGGGCAGAGTGTTTTTGCACTCATGCCCTGCTTTAGGGTTGGCCACTGTGAGAAGAAGATGCTGGACTAGATGGGCCTGATCCTGCGGCCAGGCTCTTCCTCGGTTCTTAGGCTGAGACTCTTCAACAGGAGACTAAATAATCCTTCATCTAAGGCAAGACTGTCAGCACAAATCTGTAAATGACATGGAACTTGGGTCTGAGTCACTGCCTTAACGGTGGCCAGGCTGCTCCAGCTAAGCTCTTGCACTTCACAGCTTAAGGAACGTCGCTGTTAATGTGGCCCGAAGAATTCACCGAGTCTTCCTTGTGGCTTTCTCTCACTCACTGACTTCTGTCACGCAAGGGTATTTGCTCCTCCTCTGCTTCTGACGCCGCCATGTTTGTCATCCCCTGTGATACCCAGCTCCATAGACGCTTCCCTGGAACAGGAAACAGAAGAAGGGGGAAGCATCTGTCAAGACTGTCAAGCAGGGACAGGCAAGTCCTCAAACAGATAAGCAGTTGTGCCCAGGCAAATGGGTTAGGAGCATAGCTGTCAACTTTTCCCTTTTCTTGCGAGGAATCCTATTCAGAATAAGGGAATTTCCCTTTAAAAAAGGGAAACATTGACAGCTATGGTTAGGAGGGGCCACAGCTGGGCGGCAGAACACCTGCTTCGTATGTAGAATTCAGACCCTGGCATCATCTCCTGAAATCTTTCTGCCTGTCACTGCATGCCCGCTGATGCTTGTAGTGTAAAACTCTATGTATACTTTTGTCTGGAATGATGGTGCCTCAAACAGTTTGCAGTAAAAGAGAGCACATATACCTTCCCCCGAATTGCATTTTCCTCATTGTTATTTTATGGTGTTCATTCTCTTATTATTATAATAAAACACTTTTAAAAAACATGAAAATGCCTAGCATCCCTTTGCCTGTTGCCAGGAGAGGCGCTGCTACTCATTTAGTAGATAATGTTGAGCTAGATGAAACAATGGTCTAAGGCAGTTTCGTGTGCTTCTATGTCAACTCTTTGTTCAGAACCATGAGGACTAGAACCTTCTTTCATTTTTAGTGGAAATACTGCAGATGTCAATCCCTGACATCTCCTGATAGAATGATCAGGAAACAGGTGGTGGTTAAGACCTCTCTCTCTGTTATATCCTGGAGGGCCACTGCTGGTCAGAATATAGATGGGTTACATGGACAGATATATCAAGTCAGACTAAAGTCAGGTTCCTATGATCAGGGAATATGGGATTGAATCTCTATCTCTATCTCTATCTCTATCTCTATCTCTATCTCTATCTCTATCTCTATCTCTGTCTCTATCTATCTCTATATATCTGCCTTGTATATTTGACTCCTATTCAGCAGCATTTGATGCTGCAAGCAAGGAACTTTGAAATCTCTTTTTTCAGGGTCTACTAAAAAGATTTCTCAAGGGCAGAAACTCTAGTAAGTGTAGAGAGAGTGGGTATGACTTCAAGAATATTATTGTTGTTTTTTAAAATTTCCTTTTCCCCCCCTTTTCTTTTCTTTTTGCCAGATGAATTCACTCAGCTGCTGAGATGGGCAGATATGAGACTTTCCCCTAGGACCAGTTTCCTGATTTGACATAGCAACATCACCACCAGCTGGCATGGCCCTGTGGGGCTGTCCAATGACCTCTCGTGCCACAGAGGTTTCCCTGATGGTGCATTAATGGCTCTGAAGGCAGGAAGGTAAGCTAACCTTTTGAGTAATAGAGGGATGGGGAATTTGTGGCCATCCAAATTTTGTTGGACCACAATTTCCACCACCCCAACCACGGGACATACTAGCTGTGACTGATGGGATCTGGAGTTTAATAACATAAGGACGATCATAGGTTACCCATGTCTGCAGTTGGGTTTTACTCTTTATTTACCTTTTGACACCATCTCACTGTGGTCTGAGTCTGTAGGATCCTCCTTGAGGGTTCCCAATTCTTTCTTCCAGTTATCCCAATCTACCTCTTCCACACTACAAAACACATACAAACACAAATGAGCAATGAACCGCCTGAATCCCATCACTCAGTTGGGAGCAAATATACAGTCAACATATTGCTTAGCTGTGTAGCTTTTTTGGCATAATTGTTTGTTTTGATGATGATTCAATTTTTATCCTG